GCTCCTTTGACTACGATGACCTGGATGACTGAGAACCTTCACAGACATAAACGGCAGACAGAAATGAGGCAGGTTGAATCTTCTTGCGTTTCACGGATGAGCGTTTTCGGCCGTTTCAATGTGGACGCACAACTCTGTGAAAATGACTGAAAATGATATTGTGGAGCGGAGCGTTTTTAGACAAAAATGCCGTTTTCAAATTTATCCGGATGAGTGTAGACGTAGCCTGCGACTATTGTGATCGGCCAGTTCAACAATCATCGCCTCCACATCAGGACTCACACGTGTCAGTAAATTCATGGAGGGAGATTACCAAAACTAGATATGAGGAAAAGTACAAAGAAGTGAAAAAACTTGACGGACATTTTTGCCAAAAAAACAAAAAGTGAAACTGACCACAAACTGACCCATGAGGGAAAAAACTCACAAGATACTTAACACACAATGCATCAGCCCAAGCGTGAATGCTGGCAACGGCCACGTGCATGGATTCACTGCAGAGGTCAAAATATGAGCATAAACCACCACCCTGCCCACCTCCTAATAAACGTGCAGCATGCGACAGTCCAGCTCTAGCTGATGTTTTGGGAGAGCAAGTTGCTCAGTTGTGACCTATTACTGATTTTAATACAAAGAACGAGTTAAAGAAAAAAACAAACATATTTCATTTTGGAAAAAGCAAAAAAAGAAAAGTCATTTCTCCCTTCAGATGTGACACATTTCAGCTTGATATAAATAATTTACTTCGCTTTGGTTAAAGTGTAAAACTCAAACTCCTCATGTTTTCCCACAAAAAGCCTCACACGGCTGCCCAGAGCTGTGGAGTTTTTAGGTCATGACAAAAGCTGACAAAGCATTCAAAGGCAGAAACAGACAGGTGTCGACGTGCCTGAAAAAACAGCAGGAGGAGGAGGATTACAGATTCAAGCTTTAGAGGCCCGGTGTGAAGAACTCTCGCACTCATTTAACAAAGGACACTGTGAATCCGCTCACACTTTGAGAGGAAAAGAAATCAGCTGTTTCCCAGCATCCTAGTCTATAGAAAGTGCAAGAAGGCGTTATCCAGAGGTCATCCAGCCTGGGAGCACAGATGTTGGATAGCTTTTTTCCTCAAGAGATCCTTATCAGGAGCAATAACTCATCTGTGCCACTCTTGATAGACTTACACAATCCTACACTGACTTTTATACATTAATTATTATTGACTGACCTTTTCATGCACAGAAATGAGCCTCCAACTAACCATTACATTTCATTAAAAGGTTACACCAAGAATCCAGTATTAGAAAAGTATTCTGGTCTCTTCAGGGACTCGTGTGTGGTGATCAAAGGAAACAGTTCCTTTTTTTATGCTTTTATTTGCTTTTTTGCTGGGAGCTCTGTTACTTGATGAGGTTTTATCAGTTTTATCCTGGTTTAAGTATCAAAACAGGACATTGCAAATCAAAATCCTGACTTTAAGTAATTTGATTACATGTACATTTTCCCTAAACAATTCTCCATAAAGTACAATGAAAAAATGCTAAATTCAATGAACTCTGGTCAGTGATGATTTAAGATAAATGCAAAATTGTGAGATTTGTTTTTAGTGGGGGACTTTTCGCAGTTTTGTTTAAAGAGAAATGAAATCTTAGATTTTATTTTTTTTAAAAATGATTGACTTTCATCACCTTCGAGAAAGTTAAAATGTATATTTAGTGCTAAAAATATGGATAAAATTCCAGAGTCTGACTCACACAACTGAAGCACGGACTTATTGGATGGTTTGTGACAATTAACCGCACAAAAAACACAAAATTTAGTGGCTGCATGTCGACATCCACCTATCGCCCAGCAGCCGTACCCTTAACAATGTCAAACTTTAAGCCTTAAAGCATTTAAATGGGTGAGCTATGAAGAAGTATCCAAGCGTGTTACAAGTGTGATTAGCAGGACAGAACAAACAGTTTTTCAGAGCAGGCTGCAAACATGCTGGTCATTTTAACATGAGCCTTTTGGGATAGGCTCACCTTTGATGGCTGCCTCTAGTGGCAATCAGAGGAACTGCAGTTAACCACAAACAGAGGTTCTTGGGTCTCTTTTCAGGAGTTCTTACATGCCTGCAGGAACAAGCATTAACTCCAGCCGGGGAGGATTTTTAAAACATCTTCGATCTTCGCCTGCAAAGTCCTGAAATGAAGACTAAGCGTTTTTCTGGCTTCCAAAAAAGGAAAACATTTCACATGCATGAACTTTGCACCGTCAGTCGACATCATGGTGACCGCAGCAGGGATAACAGATAACATGTGTGACCACACTCGTGTGCAGACAGCTTGACTCGTGAGTTGTCTTTTAGAGGAAGAAAGATCACCTTCATCACTACACACTTATTGATTCCAAGGCTCGTATTTAAAGAGGAAGCAGCTGAATGTATTTACCCTAACGAGTCCTAATCTTATCCAAAAGAAGTAAATGTTTACGTGAGTGTTTCGAGAGCTGAACTTTAAATACATATTTAAACTTTGAGTGTACAAACAGACACGGGAACCTCCTGCAGATGCTGCTGCGCGGCTTGTTTACTCGGAGGTACTCACACCACCCATATTCCTGTGATGATGAAGACAGGCAGGCTGACGGGAAGGATCATCCAAGGCGACATGACGGGCGCCAGGCGATCTCCGCCGCAAACGACACCAACGGACACAGGCTTCGTTACAGACCTGAAGGAGCGCAGACACAATCAGTCAGGGAAAACAAACGTACAAATATTACAATCACAAATCCTGAAATCAGGATTCCTGATTGGTAATTAGCTCTTTAATCCATCTATAAAACTCCCGCCTGTTCCAGCTCCTATACTGAACTTTCCTCTATACTTCCCTATACCACACCACTTTATTGTCTTCCAATATTTTTGGTCCTTTTTTTCCCACATTTACCGAAACCTGCACTGCTTTATATTCAGTTTCAATCAAATAAAAACCTTTAGAGCTCTTTGCCATATTACGTGCATTTTTTTGCATGATGATTTATTGTCTTTCATTTAGATTTTTACTCACTGGGTTCGTTTCTTTCTTGGTATGTGTGTAGTAGATTGCATTTTGTGTTGCCATACTGCACTTTAATTTCTCAAGCGATTCTTGTTTTACTAAAGCTGCTGCGTTTATTGTTTGCTGTAAGATTGGAGTTTCGCAGTTTTTAGAGTATATCTTATGTTAAAAGTGAGGGTTTGTAGCTTTTCCCTACTTTATGTTTCATATGCTGAACGTCTTTTGCATTTTGGAGTGTCGGTTGAACAAAACAAGACATCTGTGAGAGATGTGCAGTCCCCTTGCAGTGATGTAAGGGGGAGAATATTACATCTTGAACAACGTGTTTTGTGTCTGTCGTGCAGGTCCGATGTAGCGGCCTGCAGCAGAGATGACGAGCTGTCAAACTTGTACCTTCATCACTTTCTCCACAAATACATCAGTGCTTTCCCACACAGAGCGAAACAAACAGTAACCTGTGAAAACGACGGGCCAATGCTCAGACCTGCAGTCCTGCTTCTGTCTGTATGGCGATTTTCCTAAATGAACATATAAAACTATAGCGCAGCTCTCAGTCCACACACCAAACTGAAACCTTTTTATACAGGACACTGATTTATGTTTTGGCCGAGGTATCACAGTTTCTGTCCTTGGACATGTTATCGTCCTGTCACAGATTAAGCACAGTAAGTTTGAACTTTACAGAGTTCATAAAAAATATGCACATTTAGGGCTCAGCACATAACTTGAGTATTACTATTTTTGTGACTTGTTACACAAACAATTCCTATAAAGTTGGGACACTGTTAAAAGAAAATCCCATAGAGCCATATTTTATTCACAACAGAACAAAGAAAACACATAAAATGTTGAAAAATGTTAGCTTAATTTGAGTTTGATGGCAGCAACATTTGGGACATCTAACAGAGCATAATGTCACCGACTGATTCCAAGAATCTGGAGGAATCTCTGTGCGCAGGGGACAAGGCTAAAAATCAATAGTGGCTGGCCGTGATCTTCAGCTCTCAGGCGGCACTGCGTCATAACCAGACCTGATTCTGTCATGGAAATCACTGGATGGGTTCAGGAACACTTCCAGAAATCTCTGTCTGTGAACTCAGCTCACTGTGCCGTACACAAACGCAGGTTAAAGCTCGATCGTGCGTAGAAGAGCAAACATGTTCGAGCAACATCACCAAAGCTAATTTAAAACAACCTGAGGAAAAGTGTGAAGATGTTCTGTGATCACACAAATCAAAATCCTCCAGACCAAAGAGGAGAAGGACCCTCAGCTCTGAGTATATTCAGGTTTCAAACCAGAACGGGACAACATTCCTCTCCCACGAGCCCAGCAGCTGCTCCAGATGTTTATGAGCTGTTGTTAAAGGAAGAGAGGATGCTGCACAGTGATAAACATGTTGCTGGCATCACTTTCAGGTTCACCTTATTGTTTTATGAGATTTACAAATCATCGCTTCTTTTAATTTCACACTTAACAGAGTCCAAAACGTAACTTTTACACTTTATCCTCAGTTATAACAGGTGTCGGCTTATTTCCACCTGTTTTAAGGGGGGAAATACAGATTTTCACATGCAAAGTATGCAATTATCTTATTAAATTCGACATTAAACATGAAATATTCTATATTCAATCTGCCTGTAAACCTTCAGCTTTGCCGTTTTTGAACTCGTTTATCTGACGTGATAAATGTAAAATTTAATGTATAATAACTAGACTTGAAAACACAAGCTGAGTCAGATTTTGACATTTTGAAATTCATTTTTGGGGTTTTTCTTCTTTTTTATTTTAGGCGTGTTTTGTTAAAAATCACACAGAAACTGCAACACGTGCGTTATTTTTTAACACAGCCTTTCTAAGACTGTAATAAGGAATGCTTCAAATAAGTAGCCTGCATGTTGTGTTATATTAAAGTAAAATGTCTGGGAAACATCATAAAATTATAAAATAGTTGAGGTTACAGGTAATCACGTGCAATAAAAACTGACTAACATTAAGTCTTAAGTTATTATAAAATCTTTAATTATTGCCACAGTTTAGTCTGTAATTTCAGATTATTCGTGTTCCTGCTGTGCGTCTATTTGACCTCATTAACCCCTCTGAGCTTGATCAGCTGGCCTTCATGCTTTAGATGCATGACAACCTGAGATGCACAGCTTCAGTCCTCGGATCCTACCTCTGCCGCTCAGCGAGAGCTCCTCAGTCTCCGCGTCTCCTCCCAGCTCCTCCAAACTCGGGGAAAAGTTGCTGAAAAGTGAGGCCGAGCTGGTGTTTCTGATGTTTCATCGTCCAAACGTGGCTGCAGGTGTATCACTTCATCGGGATCGGGAGAGGAGACGGATGAGGTGGCGTCGGTACGATTCTGCTCCCGAGGCAGCCCGCTGAGCTGTGGTGGGAGGTGAAGAAAGCTGCTGGAGTCGGTGACTGGTAGCTCCTCCCACCCACGCGGGTGGAGGCGAAGGTTATTCTAACCCGACAGTCATCGCTGCTTTAAAGCTCGCACTGCTTCTGGGAAATCTCTGCCACTTTTTTCATGTTTTCTGAGTCTAAAACACGGGTGTGGGTGGGCAAACTGGACTTCTGCGTGTTCCAGGAAACTAATTTCACTAATTGATTGCAGTCAGACAAGTTGCACATCCGGGGCTGCTGAGCCCGGAGTTTAGTCAGGATTCTGCAAAGTTTGTTTCACTGGGAAAACCTGAATGTATGAGAAAAAGTTACTGTCAGGTTGAATGAGCTTTAAGAAGTTCCACCTCTCTAAACCTCTTATTGAAAGGAACATTTGAGAGCTAAAGACTTCAAAAATTATCCATAGAAATCCGAAAAAGTCAAATAAAATGACGTCTCACAACTTTCTTCTGCCATTACAACCACTATAATATATTTCATAAAGAGAAAACAGGTGAAAAATCATAGTTTAATTCCACGTTTTACTAAATTGAGTTCAAAACTAATACTTGTATCTGCAGAAATTTAGACCTTGTGTTACAACTTTGATCTAACCATGGATGTCAAACTCATTTTACACGGTAGACCACAAACAGCTCACTTTGATTCTGAGTGGGGCGCCACTGAAACTCCCCTTTCTGTCAGTGTAAAGAAATACATTAGTGTATCTATAACAGCAATCCCTGAGATTAAAAGTGTAATTTCAAAAGCATGTTGTTAGAGATTTTTCTACATTAAACAATATAACCAAATCTCTATAATACAATATAATCAAGTAAGCCTTATATTCTAACCAAATATGCCTTATATTGTATGTGTGTGTGTGTTCATATATTTTCACACGAGCCAAGCTTATTGTTAAAGAGAACATAATGCATTCCTTACTTAAGTGTTCAAGATGTTTGACAAGACATGATATACTTTGTATTCCTCACCTCAGTATGTGATGTCAGATAAGCATGATATACTTCTACATTGTTATTTTCAGAATATGTGTGCAAGGTTAGATAAGCTGAGATAATGCCTGACCCCTGCTCTGACAGTTGAAAGAGGAAGTACTATGTAACCCATTTTGCCTTATAAATAAAGAGCCAAGCCTGCACTCGAGGTGTCTGTCTTCTCAGAGGCATTCACCCGTGTGCACGTTCCTTTAAAACTCTGAGTCGGTCTGCCAGTGTCTCATTTTCTCTCTTATTTGTGTTTGAACAAATGTCAACCCCTGACACATGTCGTGATTTTTCTATAAATAAAATTAGTCAAAATACAGAAAAAGCTCTGGTAAGGTCATTGGCCCGACTGTCCTGTACGAATATAACTGAATATAAAACATAAAGTTCTCAAGTTTTTCTATAAAAATAGACATTTTTATAGGGGAAAGTAAAAATTAGGAACTTTTCTACCAGTCAGTTGTTTATATGTTACTTAACTATTTTGGTGTATGAACGGCAGTGGGGGAGGTCTGAGAGCAGGAAAGGAGGAGGTCGAGTGGAGGTGGGTTGCAAAGTGGCTCGCTGACGCACAGCAACTGTGAGAAGGCTAAAGCAGCTTAAGAAATAAACCATATATGAGATCTGAGCAAAGCTGGCAGTGAGATCAGCTGATCCGAGTTCAACTTTGTTTACATTCATCTGCTGCGTGTCTTTAACTTTTGTCCACTTTCGCTATGTTTTTTGTTTTTTCTCTTCTCTTCTCTTCGCTGTCCCTTCCAGTTCTGGTTCTGTTAGAGGTCTCTTCCTGTGAAAAGATAGTGTCGCCAAATGCTACTTGTAAATGATTGTTGGGGTTCTCTATCTAATATATAATATAAGCCAGTTTGAGGCGACTCTTATTGACACTGTAGGAATTAAAGTTGAATCGTTTGATGTAATACTTTTATCACTTTAGTCTGGCAGAGGTTTAATAGGTCCATAATTATTGGTTATATTTGTGCAAATGCTTTAACAAATTCATTCAGTCAGATGAAAGGCTCTCTGTATATACTTATTTCTTCTTTTATAATACCAGATTAAGTACATTGTAGGGACAAACTATGTCCACAAATTAATCAGAACAAAGTAACTCTTAGTTAAACCCCCAAATCACAGGGTTTTAGAAGCTTTGACTTTCTGTCCTTGAAAATGTCTTCAAAGTTTTTTTTTAATTCTACATGCAAAATAGTAGACACAGCTAAGTAATGGATGGATGGATGGATGGACGGATAATAAAGAAATAAAAGCGATACCAACTGTTAAACGTCCATTGCTTTGTTTAGAAATTCATTTATAGGGATAATTTAAGTAAATACAGTTAAGCACACTTCCTATTTCTGCTGGTTTTTACCTTAAAAGGGGAAATTTTACACCTGTTACTCGGTTAGCCAACAGCTTCGGATTTTCACAGCAGATTAGGAACATCAGTGGGGGGTCGGGGAGAACAGATTGGTTGGGTCGTGGTCCAGATTTAATGAAATTCATTAATAATGTTAGCTTTAATAGAAAGAAACAATGAAAGGAGAGAGGATGGCAAAAGTGTAAATGAAGCCTCTGTGCCTGAAAAGTTCGATAAATACAAGTCTGTCTTGTCTTGTCATCCAACAGAGGCTAAGTAAATAAAAAGACAAAATAACATCTGCAGCTGGTTGCTGTAGGAAAACACAGTTTATCAGTGTGTCCCTTTTAAAAACACCCTGCAGGTCCCCTGCAGATGAATCAATAGTGAAAAGGGAAGTTCTTCTCAATAAAAGCTTTTCATTTTACTAAAAAGCCATGAAATTGAAGGGGCTCTGGGGTTTTCTCAGAAAGGTTATTCCACAGATTGTTCCAAGAAAAATCTGTGGTCTACGGTTGGGTCAAAGAGGCGCCTCGTGGGGTGAAACTTTATTGTGAAATAATCGGCTGCAAAGTAAGGCCAATCAGAGAAGATGAGTATTTTCATCTTTTACATGGTAAAAACAATCAGCCACAGGCTTCCTGAAACAAAGAACAAAGAGCTGTGACCCTATTTTGAATTAATACTGTACCCATATAAAGAAAACTGAAAATACTCAACCACATGCCTGCATTTTCCCAACAAAACAAGCAACCAATGCTGCAAACCCTCACAAGGAAACACATCAAGTTCAGATTAACCAGGTTTCTGGCGGCACCTGGAGGCTGCCTCACGTGCTTCTTCGCGTGCCCGCCTGTGCAGAGGTTCGCACAGCTGTTCTTCGTTACATTGTGTGTTGTAGTAAGAAACAAACGCACCGCTGACGTATAGTTTGGAGCACATGTGGAGAAAGCGGTAATGACAGCCTCCTGCCACACGAGGGCGCCAAAGACTGCAATAACAGCTACAGAGCGTCAGGATGAAGAAAGTCCTCGAAAATAAAGAAATGATGGTTTTATATTGTTACAGCAATTTAAATAAACGTGGACAGACATTATTATTTAACATGCAGAAGTACTCGATTACAAATAGGAGTTTATTTATTGTTCTTAAAAACGGGTTAAACATGTAAGTATGCCCCATTTAACCATTCAGGGTAATTTTTATCAGTCTAATCTCATGTTACAGGTTATAGTTGTTAATAAATATGAACACGATGATTAAAACATATGTAATTATACAGTTAGTCCGTCGTGTGTAATTACAGTAACATGTGCTGGATGTGTTAATGTGAAGGATATCTTTAATGACTTTAAACACTACATCATGTTTCATGAGCTCCTGCACAAACAAAAACTGCTGTAACAGCTTGTGTTTGTACTGCTCACATTCAGCTCCCAACAATGTGACTCGTTTCTGTAAGTTTCATAAAAAGTTTGCTTCCCATCACAGAGCCGAGCTGAACACGAGCTGGTGGTGTTCACGCAGAAAAATCTCACTGTTGTCGTGACCCTAACCCTCTGTGACGAGCTTGTTTAAAGCTTTTCCCTCTCGGCTCCTCCACTGCGTGTCTTTCCTCCCGGTCCTCTGGTGTCACCACCCACAGCTACAAGACTATAATGTGCTGAGCAGGCAGAGCTTTGTCTTCCATCAACCCACGACCTCCCAGAGAGCGCTCGGCTCAGCTTGGACGTTTGTAGGGCAGTGTGCTGCGAGCTGCAGAGCTGCAGGGGGCCGGTGTGGTTTAACTGTGTCAGCAAGACAAATTCCTCTAGTTTAAAAGCTTCACGGGGATTTAACAGCTTCTGATCATCAGAGACTGTAGAGCCACTGTGTGCTCATCAGTCAATTTATCCTTTAGACTCAGTTTATACAGAAAATACACATATGTGTCCAATGTGAGTATAATGAGAGCCTTGTTTACATACTTCTGTACATTTTGGATCATATTTATTTTTCTTACAGAGCTCGCGTTAATGACTAGAACTGAAAAATCTATTATTAAGACCTAATATTTAGATATGACATGTTATATATTATCTTTCTCTCTTTAAACATTTCCTTTCCTCTGTAATGCATGGTTACAATTTAACACAATCCTATTATACATTTTTTCCCATCCTTTAAACATGCACTATGACCGCAATAATAAATGAAACTGAACTATCACCTTCTTAGCAATGCCAATAAAACCAACACGAATACACAGGAACAGCGTGAGCATCATAAGTTTCATTGAAAAGCAGTTTCAAAAGTTTTCCAATAACGTCGTCGGTCAAGGAATTCACCTTATATATGATAAAATTAGAAGTGTGTTTTAGCCTTAAATATTTTCTATTTCACATCTTCTGTATATATCTCTTTAAATCTTTGTTTAGTTGTTTTCCCACAGCTGTTGCAGACACCTCAACTGTTTATGGCACTTTCTGGGATTTTATTTGCGACCACTAAAGTGATGGGAGGCGTTGTCGCATGTACACAAACCTTTTTTAAAAATTCTCTCACGGTCGCTGAGTTGCCACATTCAGGCCTGAATAACAGAGTAATGGGAGACTGCCATCTATACGGCACTTTTTCAGACCCATGACCTTCAAAGGGCTTCACGCTACAACCTTTCACACACATAATTGTCACACCCTGAGGTCAAGGTCACTGAGAACT